CTTACTATTATAGGCATATTTATGATTCAAAATAGACTCAACAACATTTCCTACTATGTATAGTAATGAGAAGTCAAAACCGATATGCCTCATAAACTATAAAGGTGCTAAGGCAAATACAGTTGATTCTTGAAGAATGCAGGGGTTAGGTGTGCTGATCCCCTGTGCAGTCAAAAACCCACATGTAACTTTTGACTCCCCAAAGCCTACCTACTAATAAATAGCCTACTATTGACAAGAAGCCTTACCAATAACATAAACAGTTGATTAACACATATTCTGTATATATACATATATATATGTATACATATATATATATATATATATATATCTATCTATCATATGCTGTATTCTTACCTTAATAGAGTAAGCTAAAGAAAATGTTATTGAAATTTTAAGAGGAAATGTATGTACAACACTGTACTGTATTTGTCTATAGTGTAAGTGTACAGTATCTGTTTACAAGGTGAATCATCTGACAGAAATGACAGATAACTGCTGCTGCACACTCCAATCTGTGGTATATATCAAAGCAATTCCACTTTTCTAGTAATATAATGACTTTGCTTCTTGAGAATACTTCTAGCATCACTAGTGACATTGTATTTGGGTCACATGGTGTTATTCAAGGTTTATGTTATTGCACTAAACATAAAGAATGCACAAGAACCGTGAGAGATTATGTTTACATGGAGATTAACATCACAAGATGTTTAAAGTGGATACTCGCCACACTTGAGCTCACTGCCATAGCAACAGGAGGTGGCTATGAAATTATTGTAGTAGTACATTGTGTACTACAGCTAACTTTAAGCATTTATGATTTAATACTGTGTCTTTACATGTGTTTACTTTCTCCCAATTGTGAATGGTGTCATGTATACCTGTGTTTGTGTGTGAAAGTTTTGATAAATTTTTTAAAATTGATTTTTGTATATTTTACAATAGTATATGATAAGATAGACTATTATATACATATATTTCATCCATTCATAACATACCTAATTTTTAAAAATATTTCTAGGTTGTGTGGTTCATCTGCAAGTCCTTTCAATTTATTGAAAGTTTCAAAAAATTTCCCAAGGTATTTTTGAAAAAACTCTGCATATAAACGGACCTGCACTAATCAAACCTGTGTTGTTCAAGGGTCAGCTGTATTTGGAACAGGAATCCCACAGAACTTTAATGTAAAGATAAAGGCTTACAATTCATAGTAAAAAAAATTGAAAAGGAACAATAAAATGGCCTCAAGGGAAATAACAAATGCATTCTGTTTTAAAACAAACCTTGCAGTTGAATACTTATCCACCAAGATAAATTTAAAAATTTTCTTCTCTATACTGGACAGACCCAAATTCTAAAGTGTTG